GAAGCTCCTGAGCCACGGCGCGCAGCCAAGCCCAAACCCTTACCTCCCAGGCACGGCGGGAAGCCCAAGCCGAACACAGCACCGATATCCCCCTCCACGGGGTTGCTGAGGATCCCCTCCTGCAGGCACATGGCTGCCTCGTTCACAAACCTCGTCACCAAGCGCATCTGGATGTCCTCGTCCGTGCAGCTGCGGGGAAAGGGGCTGTCAGGGGTGCGCGGGCAGGGCGGCAGCTGGATGGGGGAGCAGGCGAAGGCAGCACAGCCCGGGGACAAAGCCAGGCCGGGGGCAGCGGGGAGGATGGTTTCGCTACCGAGACTGTCCCAATCTGCATGAGGATAAGGACTAAGTTCTGTGCCGTGCCCCGAAGCAGCCACGTAAGAACGGCAAAGGCTCAACCAGCCCACACGGGGACGGCCCTGGGGGGGGCCCCGGTCCCAGGCTGTACGACAGGTCTGACACCGACCCGCCAGCCCTGGCAACACCCCCCCGCCCCCCCCCGGCAAGCTTTCTGCAAGCGGTCCCAAGCAAACACCGAGAAATTTGAGGACGCCCCGTTCCTGCGAGCACAGGCTCTCCGGAGCCAACAGGCTGACCCCTCCACGCCAGGCTGGGAACAGCCAAACGCCCTCTGGGGTGACTCCGTGTGTGGCAATGTCCCCCAGCGCGGCTGGGGGCAGCCCTCGGGCTGCTGCTCCAAGGCAGGAGCAGCCGGGGCGAGAGCCAGCGCACCCCACCGCACCGGCTACTTACACTTCAGGCCTGGCCGGCACTTTGAACCGCGCCAAGATCTCATCCATGCCGGAATTCACGTTCCTGTTCTTCACCCCCTCCTGGTAAATGTAAAAGCCTTTCCCTGCCTTGCGACCTGCCGGGGATAGAGACAGTCACACCCTGCCACGCATCCCCTCGGCTTCCCACCTTCGTGTGACCCCCGCTCCCGGTGGCACCAGCAGACCCTCCCAGCGCAGGCAGCATCTCTGCACGTCAGAGCTGCCTCGCCAAGGGCGGAGGGAAGGGGGCCCACGGCCAGCTGGCTCCTGGGCAAGACCCTGCTGCCGCACCGGGCGCTAACGCCTTCGCTAGGTCCAGAGGACGGTCAAAGAACGCCACCGTTTCCACGGCTACAGCGGCAGAAAGACACGGTCCTCGGGAGCAAGGGACAGAGACGACAAGATCTCCTGAGCAACCCCCACTGCCAGGGGTCTGCTCAGCACAGCGAGGGCCGCTGGAGCAGTCCTGGCCCAAGAGCAGGCCCCACGGATGGACGCTGCTCCGTCCTGGCGCGCTCAGAGGTGACAGGGCCACCAGGGCGCAGCTTCTGCCATACGGGCAGAGATGTCCTTTCTCCTTGCACGGAGCTTCTGAAGCTCAGCTCAGGGTTTGTCTCACTTGGGCACATTTATTCCCAGCCACTTGTTTCCCCATGTCCCAGAGTGCTTGAAGGGGCCAGAGGTTCATGAGGTCTCGCCTGCTGCTTTTGCCCTGGGCAGCAGCTTTGCCTGCTGCTGCCGTTCCTGCAAGGGAAGGTCTGGCTGCAGCCAAAGCTCTACCCAGGGCCCAGCTGGGAGGGACTCCCCACCCATCCCATCCCATCCCAGGGCTGTTCTCCAGCTGCCTACACCCGAGGCGGAAGAGGCTGACGGATGCCGGTACTTTTCCTCGAACCAGGGGGCCACACGCTCGATCGAAACAGCCTGGTGCCTCACCTAAGAAGCCTTTTTCCACCATGAGCTTGAACACCTCGATGCTGCCTCCTCCAAAGCGCTCGCCAAAGGCCTTGCCGAGGTCCTCGGCCACGTGCGTGGCCACATCCACGCCCACCTCGTCGATCAGCGTGGCAGCACCCACGGGAAAGCCGAAGGCCGTAGAGATGGCATCTATTTTCTTTGGCTCAACACCCTCCTGCAGGATTGGAAGGGGAAGCAGTGGTATCTCTGGGGGAGGGTCCTGGGAAACCAGGGTGGGGGGCAGAAAGCCCTTGCTCATCTGGGGCCACAGAGCCGCTCCAAGGCCCTGTCAGCCGCTCGAATAGCCAGGAGGGGGGTAATCGTGCTGGCGCCTCTCCCGACCCTCCCCTGGTGCCGTGCGGGGAGGAAAGAGCCTCATCACTGCCCGTGCCGGGTCTCACCAGACCACAGCTCAGCCGAGAGTGGGCTGAGGACAACCATGGGGTGCTGGGGACAACCACGGGGTGCTGGGGACAACCACGGGGTGCTGGGGACAACCACGGGGTGCTGGGGACCCACCTCCCTTCTCAGCCAGGGCCAGCCTGATCGGGGGCAAGGAGGAAGCAGAGTTTACGCAACTCTTGGGCAGATGCTCGGTAGCCACCGGGATACAGACCTGGAGGACTCGGACCACTTCTGCCAGCATCGGCCCCAGGCACCTGGTGGTGTAGAAGCCCGGCCCGTCCTAGGGAAGAGGAGCGCAGCGGGAAGGCGGTGAGCACGAACACGGCCCCTCTCGGCAGCACAAGAGCCAAAGCCCAGGCTGTGGTTCAGGGCAGACCCACCGAACTCCATGTCTAACGCCATGTCATCCACTGCTGGAATAGGGTTTTTTTCCTGTAGGGCTCAGCAGCGTTTGGAGACTTCCAAGAAGTTACTCCCTGGCAGGTGTTTTTACTTGAAATAGCGCCTGGAGGAACCCAGCAGGCTGCAGAAGCCCCCTTGCTTCCCCGAGCCCAACAGGCTGACGGGGGGAAAGGGTGTTCAGCGCAAGTGAACAGGCATAAACCAGTTGTTTCACCTCTGGTATTGCTCCCAAAGTCAGGAGGCAACAGAAGAGTGGCAAACCAAGCCCCTGGGAAGCCTCTGATGTGGGGATAAGGGTAGGAGAAGCAGCACTCTATCTCCGCTGCCCTTCCGAGGTGCCTAGAGCGCTTTTAGACCAGCCGGTTTTCCCAGCACCACAGGAGAGAGCTGCTCAGCACTGCTGGCAACCTCACGCACCAGCGAAAAGACCAACCTGGAAACACACTCGAACCGCCCC